CTTTGTTTGGGTAGTTTTGACTTTGTTTATCCTAACAATAAGTGATAACAATGGTAAAGGAGATAAGGATATATCAAATGTCCCCTACTGGAAATAAGAAAAGAATGGATAAGATTTTTAGGCAAAAGCTAAAAGTCACCAAATGCTGGATTTGACCCGTGATGTTTAGATTTTACTCTTACAACCATAAAAAGCATCCTTTTATTAAAATTACTGCAGGAAAAATAACTTCTTTTGGGGAAAATCTGAAACTCTCCAGCCCCCATCCATTCTCCCTCCTTAATACAATGATTTTTAAAAAGCAGTCTTTAAAAATGAGGTTTCTGAGGAATGCAGAATTGACCGTCCAGTCAGACCTACGAGAAGTGGAACTGGGTCAGGATCTGAGGTCATTCTCAATGCTTCCCCAGAAGTACATGGCCCCTTGGGCTTCCTCCTCTGCTCTTCTCTGTCTCTCGCCTGGCTTCTTCTGTCCTGAACAGCCTGGACTGTGGGCCCAAGCCTGCATGTTTCCAGAGCCTGCCATTACCAGGAAACAGTTTCAGAAACCCTTAGTATAAATTCTTAAGAATCTGACTGGCTTAACTCAGTTTATAGTTGGATCGTTTTAGCAGAGCCTGCTAAAACCTTAACCTTTACACTGTCACCAAGCCAAAAGACTGCATTTCCAACTTCCCTTGAATCTCAGCGTAGGCCTGAAGCTAAATCCTATGCAATGAGGTAGAAGCAAAAGTGTTGCCTGAGTCTTCTGGGACATTCCCTTGGGGTTAGATGTGATGACGTGATGGCCAAGAGCCCAAGAGCCACACCCTTGAGGTAGCAGAGTGTGAGCCGGAAGAGCTTGGGGTACTGACTAAAGTCCCCACACCAGCCCTGGAATGCCTACATCCAAGCTTCTTTTATGTGAGAGAGAAATGCATGCCCATCTTGTTTAATCAACTATTTGGGGGAGTTTCTGTTACTTGCAACTGAACCCAAACTAACTGATCGTTTCCTCTGATCCAATAAGCTGTGACCAGAGAGGCAGGGCATGGGGGATACTGCCCAGATAGTGAACCCCCAGATCTGAGCAGATTTCCCAGGGAAGTGGGCTTGGGCAGAGCAGGCAAACGATTTGGAATATTTCCAACACTGGCTGAGGTCCGTTACCAGACCACTTGGGTTTGTAAGGAAGGGAAATACTAGGATACATATAAAATTGGAGGGTAGGCTGATATCCTAGAATTTGCACCAAGGTAAAAATTATAATTCAAGGGAAACAGGCTCTGAGTGGTGGAATTATGGGTAGCGTAGCTGCAGGCCAGTGGCTGCCCTGAGCAGATGGAAGTCAATTGTTCTGCTAATAATTGAAGAAACGTTGGTTACATTCTTTCAGAGATCTGGTTAACTCATTCCCTTTGGCCACTTAGGGCTGTAATTTATAGGTAGCAAAGTCACTTGGGATAATAAAGCCCCCAGGCCTGGTAGCAAACTGCTGAGATTTTTCAAGAAGAAAGAGACCACTTAAACATCTCATTGGTTTTTCCGGACTGAATGATACCCAGAGGAAACAGGTTTCAAATGTGTCTCCATCATTCACACCTTCAAGAAGAAAGATGAGAGGAACCAAGCAAAAACACTAAAAGTGCTACATTCATTTCAAATATCTGACAAGTGAGGAGAGTTCTGGAACAGGTTTCCCTGCAGAACTAACTACAACTCCCAGAGGACAGAGGTCCCACCATTATTTTCCTCCTTTTCTCTAAGAGCTCTTAATGGATTGAGAAAAAATTAGTTCAAATATCTGTTGGTTTGAATGCATCTATTCAATAAAAAGAAGAATAGATGTCACTGCTAAAAATAGCCTTTCTTCTATACAAGCATGTCCTACTGGGCTATGGTCTTTCTGTTTAACTTCTTCCTAAGTGAAGAAAAGCCTAAAAGTATGTCCATCACCTCTGCTTGCTGAAGAAGCACCTAACTTGCAATGCCCATTCCCTCAAAGCCGCCGGGGCCTGCTGGGTCACAGGCATAGCCGGTCTGAGCTCACCACAAAAGTCAGACACTTGAAAGCAGAGATTTAAGAAGGAAATGGGTTGTTCTCCATGTTCAGAAAAAAAAAATTTAAATGGTCTGTAATAGAAAATGGGGGGCGGGGGGGGGAGTACTCCATTCTCTGGCCTTAGCACAGATCACCAAAGAAGACAACAACTTACAGAAACAGGAAATCCTTGTGGAAATGAAGACCCTCAAAATGAGAAAACAACAACAATTGATCCAGACTTTGCTCTAGCAAGGGAGTCGGCCACCATGGCTCCAAGGTGGGCAGAAGAGCGGGGAAGCTTTAGAGTAGCGAACAAGAGAAGACTTTATGCTCTGAGTGGGGTCTGTCTTTCTGTTGGCATGAGGAAGCTGTAAGCGAGCTAACTAGAAGCGGGGCATGCCGGGTGACTGGTTAGGGGTGCATGTAGGCTTTCTGTAGTTGCTCCCAAGTTGACCAGGGGCCAAAAAATTAGGGCAGCTGTCAGTTATTCATCAAGTCCTGGCCATATGGGGCCGATTGTTTCAGAAACGACTGTTTAGCTCTCTGGATTGTTACTACAGATAGCAGTCTGGCCTCCTGCACGTCTGACAGAGAGCAGGCAGGCTTCCTGGGTGGCTTGTTGTAGATGAGGGTGTTGGTTTCCTGAGCTGGTTGCTACAGGTTGTGGGTCAGAGTTCTATGTTTATATATGGTCTGGCCATCATCCGTTTGTTCAGTTTCTCATCTTTCAGACAAAGACCGCTGAGTCTAGGCAGCTGACCCAGAGCCAGCAAGGTAATTCCCAGCATTTCTAGGGAGCCACTTTGGGAGATAGCCAATTCCATAGGCCGCCTTGCCCAGAAGTGCCTACACACCACTTACGAGAGCACATCCCTCCTAACCCCATGCGGCATGATGACGAAGGAGGAAGGGAGGGGTCGTGGTTATGGGAGCTCTGGAGTCCTAGGAGGAGAGGAGGGACAAGTGCTCCGTAGTTCTCAGCTGCCTGCAGCTGTAGGTTAGGACTCTGTGGGCAGGTTTGAGCAAATACTGATGCAGGGGTCCCACACCACCTGCCAAAGAGTCTAAGTTAATATAGCAGGCTGGAAATCGGTATTTTTTCAAAACTTCCTAGGTGATTCTAGTTGATTCTAGCGTGCAGCCCAGGTTGGCAGCTGCTGACCAAAATGAATAAACTTTTAAGAGACACGGGGAGCAAATATTTAGCAATTAGTGAACATGGAATCAGGGCATGGAAAGCCTTCAATCTTTCAGTCTTTCAGTTGGACTAGAAAAATAAAAGCAGACTGACCTAGAGTAGCAAATAGACAGCAGCATGGAGTGTGAGCCTACGTACCTGAAATGGAAATGCTGCAGGATCTAAACCATGGGCATAAGGAGCAAATGAGTACACTTCAAACCATCGTAAACACAACTGAACCATACCTACTTTGAGCGGCCGTCCGGATCTTCATTTTAACCATGAAATGTTTTATTCCTTCTCTTTAAAATGCCATTTTATCATGACTTAGTATTTCTCACGGAATGCAACGAGTACACACATGCATGTATGTGTGTGGTCAGCCTAAGTTTGCATGTTTCTCAAATACTTTACACAGAACAATTACGATCGTGGCATATAAACTCCAAAACCTAAAAAGAATCACACAGTCACTCCACACAGCTGGTATCCATTTTTTTTATTTTAGTCATTTCTCGATTTTCAGAGTTCCCAGTTTATCTGAATTTGATACAATACCACCCCCTGGTGGGAACCTATGGGGAAGAAGCACACTGGAGGCTTTTTAACACTACAAGGAAAGATTAAGATCATCTAGTACGCTGGTTTTCTCTCTCTCTGTCTGTCTCTCTCATTCCCTTCCCTCGCTCCTTCTCTCTCCCTCACTCCCTCTTCCAGCCGAATGTTCTCTTTAAAAAAAAAATCATATGCAAAAGCTCAGTGAACAAAACAGTAAAATGGAGTTATGCTGGGGGCTTTCTCTTTCCCACCCTCTCTTTGCCAACCTCACAACCCCGGATGTCCAAAATAGAACTTATTATCACTAAACACCAGCCATCTCCTGCCAAAATTAAAATTAAAATTACATCTATTTCTCCAAAGCGTCCTTACCTTAGTGAATAGCACCTCCTTTACCATTCATTAAAGCCAAAACCCTCCTGAGCATTCACAATACATATGAACAGATTAACTCAGAGCAGACCTGAGTCAAGAAACCAGGTTAGATTAATTTATTTCAGCAATTCCCAAACTTATTTTATCATGACACATTTCCCCTCCTTCCCGGTAGTTTTTGTTTTTTGTTTTTTACAACTTGCAGAAAACTCTTTGGATATATTTCATTCACAATGATTGTTCCATCCTAATCAGCAAATTAGCTCTTTGGCTGCACCTGCTACTCAATCTTCAAAAATGCTTAGGCAAAGTCAACCACACAACAAGCGAGTGCTCAGTCATTTGTGGTAAAGGAAAGTACCACCCTTAGGTGACTGACTCCAGACAGCTATTGAGCTGATGCCATGTTCATAGGTAACTTCATCCCTGTCTTCTAACCATCATGACCAGCTGAGGGGAGGAAGAGGTTGCCACAAGTACTAGGAGGAACCATGCTTTGTCTTCTATTAAATGTAATAAGCCTGTGTTGCATGATCACCGTGTATTTTATTTAGAGGGATTATAATGCTCACTTGAACGCAACCCACAAACATCATGGGCGTCTCTGCAACTGACAGTGAGTTAAGTGTTTTCCATACATTATCTCTTGCGGTGGATTTATTAGCCAAAAGATGTCAAAATCCCCACAGTTTCCAGCATCCTTGTAAATAAGCACAGAGCTTTGAACACCGGATCTAAGAGAAATCTTATTCTATAACAAGTATTTTTAACAAAAATAGAGTTTTATGCCCTATGTCGTTAGTAGTAGACTTAAGCCTAGTTCTACATTGGTACTGGATTAGGTTAGTACCAGTCCTAAGGCTACTAAGGATTCATATTGCATCATTTCTAATTTTGAAAACAAAGATATATCTAATTAAACTTTCCTGCAATGGAAAAGTTATTGGAATCAGTTCTGGTGCTTAGATTGTATTTCGATTGATAGTCTCCAGGGCCATTTGCTGTCACTTCATGTCATCTACAGCTTTGACTTGGAAGTGGGGGTCCTGAGGGCTCGGACACACTCGCCTACCAGGCTGGCGGCCTCCAGAGCAGTGCCCCAGTGCACAGAGATGCCCCCGCTCCCGTGGCCGTAGTGGTGGACCACGGGCAGCCTCCTACCGTCCTGGGCTAGGCACTCTGTCTGCAGCCGCAAGCCTGGCCTGAAGGGCCTTAAGCCCACCTTCTCCCTGATGTCACAGGCTCCATGGAGGGAGGGCTCAAGAGCACAACAGCGGGAAAAAATATCTCTGCTAATTTCTGCATCAGGAGACAGATTCCAGTCTCCTTTTTGCCTTGTTCCACCCAGGATTACGTTGGATATGCCGGGATAAATATATGTCAGCCCACTCCCATCTCGGATAAAATGCTTCACCCAGGGAGCCTGAACTCTGAGCACTTGGCCCCGCACGGGGAATATCTTTGAGTCTCCTGCAAGCTGTCTGCTTCCAAGGCCTGAGCAGTTGACCACAATGTCGAAGGATGGATGAAGCTCCCACAGGTCTCCTATTCGTCGGGTGAGTATCAGGACCCCACTTCCTTTTAACCTGGGAAGAACGAGAGAGACCATTAAGTGAACCTCCGCAGCTTCCTGCGCAAACCCTCACAGGAAATGACGGGCAAGGCCACCACATCCAGGGCCCAAGGAGGTCAAATTCTTAGCCACCGACTGCCTCGCATCCTTGGAAACTGGGGATTCCTAAACTGGAACCTAAATGAAAACCTGTTTCAAAAATTCAAAACAAATGTCTTGTCCTTTTCATGTTTTACAAAGTTCCTGTATCATACGAGCTGCTAAATGAGTACTAAATCAATCCGTACTTTAAATCCCCTAGGCTTTTTTTTTATGCCATTTATTTAGCACCTAAATTTGCGGCCTTAGGCATTTTGTCTCATATTCTTAACTCTTGGATGTTCCTTTTCTTTATGCTGGTCTCCCTAACTAGATGTTTGGAACAGGGGTCACACCCCCCACTTTATGTCTACCACAGGAATGTTAGCACGAGACGAATGCAGAATATTTGCAGCTGATGGACTGACAGCTGTGGTTGATAATGCTATTTTGGACCAAGTATATCCATAACAAAAAGAAATGGCTTGGAGCACCTGGGTGGCTCAGTAGGTTGGGCGTGGGACTCCTGCTTTCCACTGGGGTCATGATCTCGAGGTCCTGGATCAAGCCCCGTATGGCTGGGTTCCCGGCTCGGTGGGGAGTCTGCTTCCCTCCCTCTCCCTTTGCCCCTTCCTCGCTCTTTCTCATGCAGGCGGACTTTCTCTCTCTAAAATAAATAAATAAATCTTTTTTTTTTTTTTTAAGGAAATGGCTTATCTAGGTCCTGTAAATCTTTTTTTTTTTTAATTGTGGTAAAATACACAGAACATAAAATTCACTCTCTTAACCATTTTTAGGTGTACAGTTCAACAACATTAGTTTTAATACATTCATCTATGAATTTTGTGGTGATACTGACCAACATATTGCAGTGTGTTAATATTCCTTAAAATAGTGAATGTAGGGGCGCCTGGGTGGCTCAGTTGGTTAAGCGACTGCCTTCGGCTTAGGTCATGATCCTGGAGTCCCGGGATCGAGTCCCGCATCGGGCTCCCTGCTCAGCAGGGGGGTCTGCTTCTCCCTCTGACCCTCTTCCCTCTCGTGCTGTCTCTCATTCTCTCTCTCTCAAATAAATAAATAAAATCTTTAAAAAAAACAGTGAATGTAAAGAAAAGATGTTTAAAAAGAGTTTAGGAGGGCTCTTCCCTTTACCAATCAGAAGACCTTGGTCAAGTTATTTAATTTCTGTGAACTTTAATCCTCCATCCATAATTTGGAGATACCAGTACTGACTTCATAGGCTCCTGGTGAAAATGAAATGAGACAGCATCTGGAAAAAGTTTGACACAGCACATAGCACATTGTAGTTCCTCAGTATTTTTTTTTTAATGGGGGAGCAGTGTGGGAAAAGGTATAGTTGCTATGCTACTATAAAATCCAAAAGGCGTTTGCCTGCTCCCCACACCCATCTATCACTTACATTCAGTGGTTTAATAGAATGACGTTTGGACTTCAAAAAATGTTTTACATTGATTATTATTTGAACATTATCTTGGTTTTCCTTTTAATAGATTGTGGATTCCATGCGTCGATAGTTAACCGTTGTGCTCTGTGTTCCAACTATTCTAATTAAAACTCAGAATTATTCTCCTAATTCAGAGAAATAAAGGAATTTTACCAGCCTGGGGACTTGACCAAACTGAGCTTGTTTCCTCAACTATTACCTAAGGATAAGAAGTTGGGTCCACAGGGTTTTTATAAATATTGTGTATAAATTCAACAAATGCAAATGTCCTCTTCTTCCATTTCAAGGGTCCCACACTGGTTGCTACTAATGAAAGCCCACTCTCTTCCTGGAGACTTCTAAAACTATCATAGCGATTGGAAGGCCCCCGCAGGCTTGCGGTGCTGAGTGCCTCCCTGGCCTTGACCCCAGGAGGGAACTTACTGAATGTGCCAGGGCCCCATCATCCTTGTACTGTTGCGATACAACCGCGTGGTGATGCCCAGTCACTCTTGTTATCCCACGGGCAACACATCAGGGGGCACCAGGGTGTAGGAGGAAACCATACCTGGAAGCTGTATGTTGGGTGACCAAGCACTTTTACAACCATACAAGGTAGTTATTTTCTTCTGGGGGTTTTGAATGACATGGTTGGGGGTATAAGCTTGGAGACTTTCCCCGTAGGGTTTCCTGCAACTGAGCAAGACCTCATTCTAGATCGGGAGAATGCCTTGTCCCAGCCTCCCATGAGGAAATGCGGAGACGGGGGACTCAAGAAGTTGTGCTCACTACATAGCACCAGACCAATGTCTCCTGGTCATCACGCTAAAACCCAAGGGTGCCCATTTTCACCAAGCCTAAAAGTCAGCCCTCTGCAGGACCACGTCAGCCTGAAGCATACAGTGTGTAGGGGGGCGGGTTTCAGCAAGAAGGAAATTGAGCACGTGTGGCCCTGAGAGGGATGGGGCTCCACTAAGCACTTCTTTATACACACACACACACACACACACACACCCCACATCCCAGAAGCTAAGGGGAGTCCCCTCATCCTCTCTCTTCTCATGGGACTAGAGGCACCCTTGCACCCCACCTCCCATCACCTGCCGCAGCCTAAGCCATGTAAGAGAGGAATCCTGGGCAGCATGAAATAGGGAGGTGAGTGGGGCGCCTGGGTGGCTCAGTCCATTGGGCGTCTGCCTTCGGCTCAGGTCATGATCCCAGGATCCTGGGATCGAGCCCCATATCGGGCTCTCTGCCCAATGGAGCGCCTGCTTCTCCCTCTCCCTCTGCCTGCCACTCCCCCTGCTTGTGTGCTCTCTCTCTTTCTGCCAAATAAATAAATAACATCTTTTTTAAAAAGAGTAAAAAAAAAAAAGAAAGAAATAGGGAGGTGGGGGTTCAGTGTGGAGACCCACTGGGGGAGAGGGGTCACGGGGGGAAGACAAGGCCCTGTGAGCTCTAGTACGAGGGATGAGGCTGCTTTGACCACAGCGCTTGGCCTCTGGGTTCAGGAGGGAGGAACTGGGAGTGGGCAGGTCAGGGCAGGCTGTGGGGTGCAGCCCAGCAGGGGCAGAATAAGGGGGGCAGCGGAGCCAAGACACTGCCCTGGAAGCCATGTGTGCCTGGAATTCACCTGCTGAGACTTAGACCCAAACTTGTTTGGGGAGCCTAACGAGTAGAAACTGGGGGAAAACATCGTTTTTGTCATATAAAATGTTAAAGCACTTTCATCTGGCCAAATACAGACATTTTAACACTCCTTTGGTAACATTTTAATAGCTTGTACCTTTATTCTGGGAAGATGATCCAAATAGGTCTGTGGATTATACAAATACACAGTAAAAACTCTCTTCTAAGGATTCAAGATGACTTTGGGGTGAGAGGGTACATGACTGTCTGCATGAAGGCCAGGAGGCTTCTCTGCAAACCAGATTGCTTCTGGAAAATTGGTGCCCACCAAGGAGGGTAGAGAGAAAAGGGGATGACGTGGTGTCTGTTCCCCAGCTGACTCCTCACACTGGCTAGAACTTGCTTGTTAGGGGGCGAGGGCCAGAGCCTGAGGACCAGAGCCTGAGGGGACTGATTTGAAGAGAATTGGTGAGACTCAGGCCTGAGCAGTGGAACCCCAGGTGTCAGAGCTGGAAAGAGGACAGTTCTCCCCACTGCTGCTATAGTTTCAAGTGCATTGGAATGAGGAAAACAGCATTGAGTTTTTGAGCCACTGATGAGAGAAAGAGTGAAGAGCTAGGAGGCCATTGCTAGAGATGGAGAGAGAGGCAAGGAGGCTGGGAGAGCACAGTGACCAAAAACCTGGGGGGGGGGTGTAGGGCTGGCTTTGGGAAGCATTTTGTGATGTCTTATGTATGCGTTATTAGACATAGTCAATTAAAAAAATTAATCCTCGCTTCAAGCCTGAAGCATGACACCTTAATAACAGTGATCAAAAAATTAACTATGTCCAGTCTATTTGAAAATGAGATTAAAAGGAAACGTAATTTAAAAGCTTACTTGGCAAATAGTACTATGCACACAGATTCATAGAAGAAGTCCACTGTTTCCTCAAAAAGTGAAAAATAGAACTATCCTACGACCCAGCAATACCTTTGGATAGGTATTTATCCAAAGGATACAAATATACTAATTCGAAGGGGTACATGCACCCCGAAGTTTATAGCAGCATTATCAACAATAGCCAAACTAGGGAAAGAGCCCAAATGTCCAACAACTGATGAATAGATAAAGAAGAGGTACTGTGTGTACACACACACACAACACACACACACAAAAACACACACACACACACGCAAAGGACTATTACTCAGCCATAAAAAAGAATGAAATCTTGCCATTTGCAATGACGTGGATAGAACTAGAGGGTATTATGCTAAGTGAACAAAGTCGGTCAGAGAAAGACAAATACCATATGATTTCATTCATATGTGGAATTTAAGAAACAAAACAGATGAACACAGGGGAAGGGGGAAAAAGGGAGGGAGGCAAACCGTAAGAGACTATTAACTCTAGAGAACAAACTGAGTGTTGGCGGAGGGGAGGAGAGAGGGAGGATGAGCTAGATGGGTGATGGGCATTAAAAGGCACTTGTGATGAGCACCGAGTGTTGCACATACGTGACGAATCATTAAATTGTACTCTTGAAACCAATATTATACTACATGTAACTAACCAGAATTTAAATAAAAACTTGAGGGATGCCTGGGTGGCCTGTAGATCAGGGAGCCTGCTGATCAGGGAGCCTGCTTCTCCCTCTGCCTGCAGCTCCCCCTGCTCGCGCTCTCTCTCTCTCTCTCTCTAACAAATAAATAAATAAAACCTTAAAATTAATTAATTAATTAATTTAAAAACTTGAAACAAACAAAAGACTACATCATATAATAAGGAATAAAATAGAGGAAAAAAGAAAAAGTCCACTGTTCCTTCATAGTGACACTTAGTGTAGCTATACCTAAAATAACTTATAATAGTTAGATTTT